GTCGGGGGCTTGTGGCTCCCTCCTGATTCAAAAGACAGCCACATCCTCAGTCGCCAGCCCTTACCACGTGTGCTCGAGCCTCCGTACCTCTGCACTTCCGCAACTCCTCTGAGTCTCAGTGTGCTTTTCTCTTTCCTTCTAGTTGTAGAATGTCCACTGAGCCCGCCTTCCTGTAGTTCTGGATGATGTCCGTTTTGTCTTTTAGTTGTATTTTTGAATTTGTTGTGGGAGGCAGCCATTTCCGGTGTCTACCTATGCCGCCATCTTGGTTTCTCTAGTTCTGTAGTCATTTAATGCACTCTGCCTTAGTTCCCTCTGAATAACCTGTCTTGTTTAGGTTGACTAGTCAATTAAAAGTGTTTTTCCGCCCTAGCTGGTTTAGCTCAGTGGATAGAGCATCAGCCTGCAGACTGAATAGTTCAGGTTCAATTCCAGTCAAGGGCACACACCCAGGTTGCGGGCTCAGTCGCCAGTAGGGGGCATGCAGGAGGCAGCTGATCAATAATTCTCTCTCATCATTGATATTTCTGTCTCTCTCCCTCTCCTTTCCTCTCTGAAATCAATAAAAACATATTTTAAAATAAAATAAACGTGTTTTACAGAGTTTCTGTTGTAGACATCATTGTAGCCTCCTCCTTATGTAAAAATAAATGCTTATACATCATTAGAAAAGTGAGAGCAGTTCAGGCTAAATCATCAGTTAGTAATGAACAGTGCCTTTGCCTGCAATGTCTCCTCTGTACACTCCGACAAGCTGTGCTGGGCCGCTGGTAGGGGAAGGGTTTGAGATTCTGGTTGTGTTTTACCTTTTCCTTGGAGGCAGCGTTCCTTGTCTCCCCATGGTTGCCATCTCCCCTCCCCCAGTCCTGTTTCCTTCCCACGCCCCTCCCACCAGGAATGCTAGAAACTGTCCAGGGAGAACTGGTTTGATGGGGAGCCTCCCTGCATCAGGAAAGGTCAGGCAGATAACGCAGAGCTCTGTGCTCCTGGCAGGCCCCTCAGCACTCCTGGGCGCAGCTCGCTGTCTCTTCGGGACCAGCAGCGCTCACCCCAGCATGCCCCTGTGCAGTGAACAAGGCTAGAGAAAAGCCAGACCGTGCTGCCTGTCTCATTTCAGATTCATGACCACAAACCAAGTGCACCCTTAACAGTGCAGGCAGTTGTACCATATTTCCTGGTTTCCTTCCCCACTCTGCTAATTACTCCTTACCTTCTGCAGTCTGCGGCCTCATTCTCCATGCGCACTCTCAGCTGATGGCCCGCCTTCCGATTCCTGGAGAAAACATGCGGCAGAAAGGACCTCCTGACGGGCTTGCACTGCCACCCCCCTCGTTGCAGGCCCACCCTAGGTCCCAGCTCCTCCCACCTGCTCTGAGCCCTTGCCCAGCAGCCCCATTTCTCCTGCTTTGTCTGATTTTCCAGCTCAAGTAAAAAAAACTTTTATTTTTTAGTAGCCATTTACATTCTGTTCCTTCTCCCATCATGGGAATAAATAAAAAGGAACTCTTGCCCTGGCCAGGTGGCTCACTTGGTTGGCATGTCATCCCATACACCGAAAGGTTGCAGGTTCGATTCCATGTCAGGGCACATGCCTACGTTGCAGGTTTGGTTTCCTGTTGGGTGATGTTTCTTTTCCCTTCTTCTCTTTAATAATCAATAAACATATCCTCTGGGAGGATTAAAAATAAACTTCCTCTCTTTAAAAATCAATAAACATATCCTCTGGGAGGATTTAAAAAAAGGGGGGGAACTCCTGATCTCATTTCCCCTGCGGGCTTCCACCCACATCTCTGCACCCATTCACCACAGAACTTCGGGACGAGTTGCCTGTGCTCACTCTCCTCCCTCTGCCCTCACACCCTCTGCTGAATCGATCCCTCAGATGAGGCCCGTGGTCTCTGAGTCACCATCTGATCTTACCTGTCAGCTTCACTTCGCCTGGCTTTACCCTCTTTTCCTGAAATGCTTTCCTCTCATCTTCTAGAACAGCGGTCACCAACTGATGGTCCACGGACCACTGATGGTCCGTGAGGTCCGAAAGGTTGGCAACCGCTGTTCTAGACCGCCACACTCCTGGCTTCCTCCTGCCTCTGTTCTTCTTGGTTCTCTGCATGGCTCTTGATTTCTCTGCGTTCTGAATGTGAGGGTGCCCAGGACTTAGTAGTTAAGCTCTCATCCTCTCCTGTGTTTATTCTCTCACTGATTTATCTGGCTTCTTGGCTTTACTGTCTCTAATCTGATGACTCCTAAGCTCGTCTCCAGCTCAGACCTGTTCCTGGAGCCTCAGACTCAAACATCATCCAGTACCCATCCCACAGTTAACACGTCCACAGTCGAGGTCCTGATGACTCCTCGCATGCCATCCTCCCCCAGGACCCCGTCCCTATAAATGACAACTCTTCTTTCTTACTTGCTTAAGCCTAAGCATTATCTCCTCTGTTTACCTCATATTCTAGTTGCGGGTCATGAAAACTCTTTCTGGAAAGGGCCAGGCAGTAATAACTTAGGCTTTGAAGGCTGTGCAGGCTCTGCCACAGCTGTTCTTCTCCACCCTGTGGCACAATCGCAGGCACAGATGATATGTAAATGAAGGAGCGTGGCTGTGTTCCAATAAAGCTTTATTCAGTGGGTCAGATGTGGCCCTCGGACTAGATTCCTGGCCCCTACTCCAGGTCCATCAGCAAAATAGAACCTGACCAGATTCTCACAACTCACCTCACCTATCCTGTTGCCACCCAGGTCCGAGGCACCTGCATATCCTGCCTGGATGCTGGGGGCCTCCTCACTGGTCTCGCCAGGCCCTCCCTGGCCTCAGTGTGGAGCCAGTGAGTCCCTCTAAAGCAGCGGTTCTCAACCTGTGGGTCGAGACCCTTTTGGGGGTCGAACGACCCTTTCACGGGTCACCTAAGACCATCGAAAACACATATAATTACATATTGTTTTTGTGATTAATCACTATTCTTTAATTATGTTCAATTTGTAACAATGAAATTGGGGGTCACCACAACATGAGGAACTGTATTAAAGGGGCGCAGCATTAGGAAGGTTGAGAACCACTGCTCTAAAGCATAAGCACCAGGTCATAAAACAGCGTCAGTTTTACAGCAAGCTCATTCTGATGCCCACACTCACGTACAGAAAGACTAGACAGCTCTTAGTTCTTGGCAGTGCCTCTGTGCTGTGAAGTCCTAATTGTGTTTCTCGCATAGTCACCATTATTCCTAATCACATGCAGGTAGATATTATTGGCCATGTCCTTGGCAGACTGGAGAAACAAATTTACATGAATTTATTAAATAAACAAGTCTAAGCAGAACAAAACAAGACAAACAGAAGACAATCCCCTCATAAAAAGGTCACGTCAGCTCAAAACCCTGCACTGGCTCCCTGCCTTCCCCGAGTGGAAGTCAGTCCTCCCCGACCAGGGCTGCGTGTGGCCTGACCCTGCTGCCGCCCCGACCACCACTCTCACTGCTCTTCTTACTTCCTATGCTCTGGCCATGCTGGCTTCCCTGCTGTTCTGGAACATTCCAGGCGTGATCCCTACTTGGGCCTTTATATTTTCCGTTTCTGTGCCTAGAATGCTCATGCCCTAAAATCCACAGGCTTTTTTGCTTAACTCTCCAGATGCTTATTTGTTACCTTCTCAGTAACACCTTCTCTGGGTGCCCTAAAACCACAACCTCTATCCGACACAGATCGTTTTTCTTGGGCGGATGTGGCACATGTGCTACCTGCATGTCCTGTTTTCTCTGCCTTCCCTCCTACAGTGTAAGCTCCATGGGGCGCAGGCTCTGTCCCCGGTGCCTTTAACAGTGGTAGCACATGATGGGCACCGAATAAAAGATCTGCTCAATTAATCAGTCACAAGAGGAAATGACCAAAATGACATCAGCATGTGTAGCTTAAGGAAATCTCAAGCCTGGCCGGTGTGGCTCAGTGGTTGAGGTCATATGCCCAGGTTGTGGGCTTGATCCCCAGGGGGCATGTGCAGGAGGCAGCTGATCAGTGATTCTCTCTCATCATTGATATTTCTATCTCTCTTTCCTTCTCCTTTCCTCTACCTCTAAAAACAATTGAAAAAACATTTTTTAAAAATCTCAAGAAGATAAAATTAGTGTGTGTGTGTGTGAGAAAGAGAGAGAGAGAGAGAGAGTAGAGAGAGAGAGAGAGAGAGAGAAAGAGAAATACTGGAACAGAGCTAGTGTTGCAGCTTAACTATAAGCATTTGTTTTGGTTTATACCCAAAAGGGAATATCATTCAGGAAATACTTCAATGCTAGGAGCAAAATCTTACAAAAATAAAACCCTATTAAATAAAAAATCTAGCCTTCCCACACAGAATGCATAATTTACCTTTAACAAGATCCTAGTCACCATAGCAGTTTGGGAAGCTGCCATTTTGAAAGTCGTAATTCATATTTTATTGAGCAGACCTGGCTCTCTCCGCTCTTTGTCATACACACCCTCACTCTTTAAAATTTGGTACGTAGAGATTTTACTCATCTTCTAAAGGAGGATCAGAGGTGTGGCCTGTGTTTTAATTCTCTAATGTCTGGTTTTATGGACATGCAGGGGGTGCTATCCACGCCTTAAAGCTTGGCCTCCTGGCAGTGAGTTCTCAAGTTAGGGGTGGGAGAGGGTGAGGACAGACACGTGTGTGGTTTGAGAACAGCGCAGTGTTTTGTACAAGTGCTTTGATTGGTTGTTACTCATGATATTGAATTCATATTGATCCTAAATAAAGTCAGACCATCTGATTTTTAAGTTTCAGAAAGGAGTGGGGTCATGTGGTTGTACAGATGGAGGAACTAGTAAACATAGTTAATTCTGGGAGAATTGCCCCACTTGACCCAGAGTGTGAGGCTCACATGGCGAGTTCAGGAGGATGCAGATGATCTCCTGGCTGTCTTATGGAAACACTGGGATGCAGTCCATTAGCGGGGTGGAATACTCCGGCATTGTACTGCTATGGGCTGTTGTACACAGAGTATAGCTGTGGTATGTGATCTTACAAATGCAGGTTTTCAGACAGCGTACTGTAATTTCCGGTTTATTCTAAGCCTGGTTTTATCAGGTGGGGTTTTTAAATCTGCTGAACTGCTATCCCATAAAAATTGTTGAGTTTTATTATTGATTAATTTTTATTAAAAAATTGTCAGACCTTTCACTGTGCAAGGTAAACTAATGTTCTCCTAAGGACATTATCGGTGCTCTATTATCTAGTCCTTCAGTAAATATTTACTGAAAACCTACTTTGCATTACCCTTCTTGAATTAATGAATTTAAAGTTTTGCTGTCTTCCACAAGCTTCTCAGAATTCTCACTACATTAGATGTTTTCCATATTTCCCTTGAGTCTACTTAGGAACACTGACAATTTTGTTTCTCTTTTCCTTCATGAGCCCTGCAGAAGTTTTAATTAACAGGTATATGTTAATACCTGCTATCAGGAGTGGATAAATGTTTTGTAACATTCTTCAGTGAAGAGACATTAGAGGGTGGCAACTTTACTTTCTTGGAATGCTGGGATGGTTAAAATGTTATCCACTTGGTAGTTGTTTCAGCTACAACTGGTAACTCAAGTTGTTTTTGAAAAATTGTAAGTCTCATTTTCCTTTCACCACAATAGGTATATGCAGGGTGTCCCAAAAATGTATATACACGTTGAATACCACTGTTAATCCCAATGGGTTACATCTGAAAAGAAAGACACATCAGTTGAGGTATCAGCTGTTAAACTGTGTATACATTTTTTGGAACACCCTGTATTTTGTATTTTTTATGCCCTCTATTTTTAAAAGTACTTGCAGATGTCTGGATATTCATAGTTAAAGTACTTTTTAAAATTCTATGAAAACCTGCCTTTAAAGACCTTGCAATGAACACCAATATACCCACCATCTATCCATTAACCTTTTAGTATATTTGCTTGATCACACCTCTCCCTCTACAGGTCTCTATAGCCCTTCATTAATGTATCTTATTCTTGGTACATTTCAAGGGTTTTCCTGGCCTGTGATGGAGGCTAATTTGTATTCCAGGATCACAGTTTAAATTGGTGAAAAAGAAGGTGATGAGGAATCAGTTTTAGATATTAGATACAGCTCTGTTACTGACCTCTACGATGTATATTGATAAGTTCGACTAATTGTTAATGTTCCTATGATTTAATATTACTTTTGCATTTAGTATAATCTTTTATTAGAAACTAGAGGCCCGATGCACAAAATACGTGCAAGGGGCTCGCTCGGCCCTTGCAGCCCCGGCGGCTACCCCGGCAGCTGCCCTGGCTTCATCCAGAAGGTCATCCGGATGGTTGTTAGGCCTTTCGGTCAATTTGCATATCACCCTTTTATTATTATAGATTCTTCAATTGCTGACTGTCACAATGGTATGGATACTAATTGTGTATATTTACTGTTGTCATTACAAATGGTTTTACTGTTACTTCATGTGGGATTTAATCTTTCATGTCTTTTTCTGCCCAGGAGTAGCCCATCGAAGCCAGAGCAGTGAAGGAGTCAGTTCTCTCAGCAGCTCGCCCTCCAATAGCCTTGAAACGCAATCGCAGTCTCTCTCACGTTCCCAGAGCATGGATATAGATGGTGTCTCTTGTGAGAAAAGGTAAAGTGAGCCGATTTCCCAATAGAGTGTATTGATGGAAAGAGAAAGATCCATTCAATTTAGTCTCTAGTCATTAGTCTCAGATGCCAGCCCAGAGATCCATGCCAGTCCATAGCAAATTAGAGCTAAATTTATTAAACTTAAAGGTCTTTGTATTATTCTGAAGTGTTCTTTATACCTTTTTATGTTTTTGGTGTTGAAATGTCTTTTGTGAAATAATGGTGTAGGTGGTAAGAAATGTTTTTTTAGTTTTTTAATGTCTTTATAAACACAAAGTTGGCATCATCTGTCAGCCCCTAAATATTTCTTTGAAATTTTGCTGATCAGTGAACATTTAAAAGGTGGAGGAGCTCAATAAGTGGACTGATCTAGCTGAGCCAAACAGTCTGCGAGCTCTATAAGGATCAGGGTGCCCTGGAGCAGAGCCTTCCTGTGCTGCAAGTGCACCATGGCCAGGTGATAGAGTGGCGGAGGTGTTGATTTCTTTATTCCATGGGCCAGCCAGACACCCACCCCAACTCGAAGACCCATTTCCACTGCTCTAAGCTGCCCCCTCTGTTTATGTCAGCAGGCCAGACAAATATTATCTTCTCTGTGTGTTACAATATGAAAAAGGTTGAGAAGTACTAGAATAGAGCTTCGGTAGTTGGGTGAGTTGGGGGTGAGGAACCGGATCAGAGACCACACACATTAGGCAAGAGTTCAGGAAGGTCGCACTCTCAGGGAAAAGATCAAGTTAACCCCATAGAGTAAAAACAGTTTTGTTCTTATAACCTTTGCTTTGACTATATGTATTTTCTTTTTTTAAATATATTTTTATTGATTTTAGAGAGGAAGGGAGAGGAAGAGAGACAGAAACATCAGTGATGAAAGAGAACCATTGATCGGCTGCCTCCTGCATGCCCTCCCCTGGATATTGAGCCTACAACGTGGCCATGTGCCCTGACAGAGAATGATAGGCTGATGCTCAACCACTGAGCCACACCGACTGGGCAATACATGTATTTTTTTTTTTTTAATCAAGTCAACTCTGTGATTTCATGGCTAATAGGTAACTTTCATCTGGGTTTAGCACCTAGATTCACACTATCGGTATATATAGTCTAAAAAACCTCAAGCTAAGAATCGTCATATACAGTGAACCAAGGCATCTACCAGAAGAAAACACAAAGCATCATGTCTTCAGAGAATTTCCTTAGAAAGATTTCCAAGTAACATTAGCTCATGGTCAAAAATCACAAAGCACAGCAGAAAACAGCCACCACGACTAACAGCCAACAGATTAGTGACAACAGTGATTTCACCTAGAGATTTTAGGGTTTTGGAATGATCAGGTACAGAATATAAAATATGTATATTTAAATAAATTAAAAAAGGAATTGAAAACATAAGGGGCAGGTGACTATAAAAACAACCAAGCACATTTGTAAAGAACCAAATACAATTTTTAGAAAGGAAAAGATAATTCAAATTGAAACGAGTTAAACAAAGGATTAGACATAGCTAAAGAGAGAATTAACAGATGGAATGATAGAGCTGAAGAAATTACCCAGAGTATACCACAAAGAAAGAAAGTGATGAAAAATATGAAAGATGGAGATGTAGAATATACAGATTCAATATATATTTAATAGAAACATTAAAAGGAGAGGAGAGAGACTTGGAGAGATTCTCCAGTTTTCTCCTTATTAGACATTTTTCCCTCTACTGGTTTGGAAGCCATTATCAAAAAATAAATGGCTGAAATATAAAATAATATTGAATGTCAATTATAATTTTTAAAAAAAGATAAATGGTTGAGGATTTCTCTAGAGTTGATAAATGATATGAATCTTCAGATTCAGGAAGCCCAGCAACTCACAAACAGGTTAAACAAAAAGCAATTTCTATCTAGACATCTCTTAATAAAATTGTAGAATACCAAAGACCTATAAGTAGTCAGAAAAGAGATTCTCTACAAAAGAACAACTATTAGATGTCTCAAAGATGGAAGCCAGAGGATGTTGGAGTAATAGCATTGAATGCTAACAGGAAGTCTACTGAAAATTGTGTACCTTTGTGGAACAATCTTTTAAGAGCAAGGGTGAAATAAAGACATTAATAGATTAAAAACCTGATAACCTGCCACTAAAAGACCCCCAACTTTTTTTTTTTAATATATTTTTATTGATTTCAGAGAGGAAGGGAGAGGGAGAGAGAGATAGAAACATCACTAATGAGAGAGAACCATTGATCGGCTGCCTCCTGCACTCCCCCAACTGACGATTGAGCCAGCAACCGGGGCATATGCCCTTGACTGGAATCCAACACGGGACCTTTCAGTCCACAGGCCAATGCTCTATCCACTAAGCCAAACCAGCTAGGGCCCCCTGACTTTTTTAACAGATGTAGTTAAGAAGGAAAATGATCTCAGGAATAATGTGTGACATGCAAGAAGGAAGGGTGAGTGAAGAAAATAATAAACACTGATGGTATAAAGCAATAACAACAGTGTAGAAAAATCAGATATGTCTAACATTTAGCTGGCCAGCAGTAGCAGGTTAGTCGTAAGGGGCGTTTAGGGGGTTCGTTGACCCAAGCAAGATCTAAAGTCCTTTTATACTTGAGAAAGGAGTAAAGGTACTGGCCAACTTTTTTTTTTTTTTTTAAGACACTGGCCAACTTTTAGATTTTGAGTTAAGAATACTTGATTAAAGTTCAGGGTAGCCACTAATAGAATGAAATAGAGTATATCATCCAAACCAGTAAAAGGGAAGTATGGAACCATAGTGAGGAGGTGGGAGAGTGAAGTTAAGTCAATTCAAAGAAAGGGAAAGAAGAAACAAATTTCTAAAAAGACAAATAGCACAAAATAAGCTGGTCAAAAAAATGAAAATATGTTAGCAATTACAGTAAATCACAGTGAGAAGGAATAGGTTGTATTGAAAACAAAACAGAACCCAGCTTTATCCTTGTTTATAAAAGGAATATCTGAAAGATTAGGTTAGAGAAGTAAGGTTAAGAGTAAAAAAAAAAATCATAAAAGGTATACCAGGCAAACAAAACAAAGTAAACAAAAGAAACTTGGGATAAGCATATTAATGAAGTAGACTTTAAGGCACAAAATATTACTAGACGTAAGCACTATATAACGACAAATGTTTTGTTTACCTGTAGGATTTAACAGTTCTGAAAGTCTATGTACTTAGTAATATAACAGCAATATGCAATAAAGCCAATATTGACAGAACTAGAAGAAATTGACACAGTCATAGTGGGAGTGTTTTAACAATAGATCATTTATCAATAGATTAAAGAGAATAAATATGAGTAAGCCTATGGGCAAATTAAACAACACAGCTGGCAAGCTTGATCCAGTGGAAAGATACAGAACTTTGCACTGTACAGTTGGAGAATACACATTGCTTTCCTAATACTCACTGACCAAAAAGTTTCAACAGTCAGAATCGTACATGTTTTCTCACTAGTATTAGGTTTGATAATTGATACGGGGGGAAAACTTATTTATTTTATAAATATATTTTTATTGATTTCAGAGAGGATGGGCGAGAGAGAGAAACATCAATGATGAAATAGACTTATTGATCAGCCACCTCCTGCATGCCCCCTACCGGGGATCAAGCCCGCAACTTGGGCATGTGCCATTGACTAGAATTGAACCCAGGACGCTTACGTCCGCAGACCGACCCTCTATCCACTGAGCCAAACCAGCTAGGGCAAAAACCTTTTTTAAAAAAACTTTAAGGCATTTGTAAATTTTAGAAATGGAGTATGCTTCTATATACAGGTTAAAGAAAATATCATAATGGAAGTTTGAAAGTATGTGGAACTGAACAGTAACAAATATTATGAATCATGATCTGCGTGTTGCAGCTAGAGTGGTCCTTAGAAGAAAACCTAAAGCTATAATATATTAAAAAGGAAAAAAAGAATACAAGGAAATATTGGGACTAAGAACCCGTTGGTTGGAATGCGCTTCCCCTGGGCATGAATGGGTAACCGCCTTCATGTTGTTGCTCATCTGGCATTTCCCAGTGAGGCTCACCCCATTTCAAGCAGAAAGCCCTGCACTCTCAGTCGCCTTTTCCCTGCTCTTTTTTCTTTAAATTTTCCATAGCACTCACTATACTATGTGCTTTGCTTATTTATGTTTATTGTTTATTCTCTCTTTTTTTAATGTTTTGGGTTTTTTTTATTGATTTCAGAGAGGAAGGGAGAGGGTGAGGGAGGGAGAGAGAATCACCAGTGATGAGAGAGAATCATTGATCAGCTGCTTCCTGCACACATCCTACTGGGGCTCGAGCCCGTAAACCCAGGCATATGTCCTGACCAGGAAATGAACTGTGACCTTCTGGTTCATAGGTCGACGCTCAACCACTGAGCCACCGAGAGGCCAGGCTGTTTACTCCCTTTCTGTCTCTAGATGGAACGTATGCTACATGACGCAGTGATTTATGTATTTATTTATTTTTGTCTTTTTTGTTCACTGACATTTCAGACACCTAGCACAAGCCCTACATAGGATGGGCGCTCAGTAATATTTGTTATTGAAAGGGGGAATTCCATGAAAAGTGTAAATATACAAATGCAAATAAATTTGAAAAGTTGGATGAAAATCAAATTCCTAGAAAAACGTATTTTTCCCAAAATGAATCAAGAAGACCTGAATAATAATAAAAAAAACATGAAATAAATTGAATCAGTATTTTAAAAATTTTCAACAAAAGAACCTTGCTCATATAGTTTTATAGGTTAATGTGATATGATATAGTACAGTATAATATGATCAACTTCAGTTTATGTCAGGAATCCAAGGGTGCTTTAATGTTAGAAAATTTATAAATATTATTCACCATATTATAAAAGAGAAAAGCCATTGCAAATTTTGCTAAACTTCAACAGTTGATGATAAAAATTTTAACAAACAGGGCACAGAAAGGTGCGTCCTTAAACCGACAATAGCAGAGATAGAGTTAACAAAATAATCATACCTTCCCCTGCATTTCCAGGCTCCGTTGCAGCTAGACTGGGGTCAAGTGACTAGTTCTGTCCCATAGACTGTGAGAGGAAGTGACATGTGTCACTTGTAGGAAAGGCAGTTGAGCCGATGTTCCTCCTCCGTCCCTCTCTTCTCTTGCTCCAGTGACCTGGGAGGCTGCGTATTGCAGATGGCATAGATTAAAGATGAAGTCAGGATGCTTCACTCTCACCAGACTTTGCGTAAGCAAGAAATAAACCCTTATAGTGTTAAGCCTCTAAGATTTCAGAGTATATGTGTTGCCAAGGCAGAGCCTGTCTTATTCTGACTAATACAAAGAACAGCTGCCAGAAAACTGCAGCACTCTCATTTTCAGTGGTGAGGCGTTAGAAACTCTCTTTAGAATCAGTAATGAGAACAAGAATGGCTGCTATTTCTGCTTCTCTTCACCATGGGGATCCTACCCCGTGCAGGGAACAAGTAGGGACTGGAGTGGAAGAAACAAAACATTTATTGTTCAAAGATAAAATGATTACCTAGTGAGCCCTGTGTATAAGTAAAGTTGCTTAAAATAGATCTGTGTCCAAAATCAGTTACATTACTGTGTACTAGCAGCAACCAAACATTAGAAAACTTAATTTTTAAAAAGGTACCATTCATAATTTCATTTAAAAATATATGGTACATAGGTATAAATTGAGTGAAAGAAGTGAAAGACTTGTGGAGAAAATTATAAAAGTTTATCAAAAGACCTTAATGAAAGCCTAAATACTTGGAGAGAGATACCATGGGTAGACTCAGTAACATAACGATGCCATTTCTCCTCACTGTGATCTCTGAAGTCAGTGAAATTCTAGTCAAAATCCCAGCAGAATATTTTTTTAAATATATTTTATTGATTTTTTACAGAGAGGAAGGGGGAGGGATAGAGAGTCAGAAACATCGATGAGAGAGAGAAACATCGATCAGCTGCCTCCTGCACATCTCCCACTGGGGATGTGCCCGCAACCAAGGTACATGCCTTTGACTGGAATCGAACCTGGGACCTTACAGTCCGCAGGCTGACGCTCTATCCACTGAGCCAAACCGGTTAGGGCCCAGCAGAATATTTAAGGAACCTGGCAAGCTAATTCCTAGTTCTGTTTGCAAAAGCAAAGGGTCAAGAATGGCCAAGACGCTCCTAAAGTAGAAGAACCAGGTGGAGGCATTGACCCAGCACGTATCCAGACTTAGTGTGAAGTTTTAGTAAGACCGCGTGGTGTTGGCTCAGGGACAAACAGCTTGTCTAATGGAACAGAAACCAGTGTCCAGAAAAAACCACACATATACTGTATAATAGGACATATGAATAGGTGACTTCATATTAGTGTAAAAATGATGGTCTTTTCAATAAATGGTCCTGGGACACTTATTTATTTAATGTGGGGAAAAATACTATATGTTCTCAACTAGATTTTATAATCAGGCTCTGAATGATTGTATATAGAAAATATGCTCTATTTTTTTGAAAGTGAGCCTAAGAAAATGACAACTTGGGAAAAATATTAAAATTATCATAGAATGTTTCTATCTTAATATATGAAGAGAGCTCTTTAAAGAATTAATAGAAAGAAAAGATGAACCTTTAATATTTCGCTTTCCTGACTGATTTTGATTGATATTTAAAAACTTCCTCAGCCAGAGGCTGAGACATTGGGTGCATTTATGGAAGGTAAAAGACTTATTTGTCTTTTGTACTTAAAGCATGTCCCAGGTGGATGTGGATTCAGGAATTGAAAATATGGAAGTTGATGAAAATGATCGAAGAGAAAAAAGGAGCCTCAGCGACAAGGTTGGTAAGAGGAAGCCTTGCTTCTGTTTTAGTACAGGTGACATGACACAGGGAAACAGCGCTCACGTCTCCTATCTGCGGAGTCTGTTAAGAGTGGCCACCCAATCACCAGGTCCTGGTCACGTGATTGGTTTTTCATTTTGAGGAAAAATGAGTAGTCCAGCCTGCCCTTACTAATGGAAGTATAACTCAGTCTTTTAAAGAGGAAAGGAGAGGAAGAGGGAGAAACATCAATGAGGAGAGAAAATCATTGATTGGCTGCCTCCTGCACTCCCCCATTGGGGATCAAGCCTGCAGCCCAGGCATGTGCCCTGACCAGAATCGACCTTGACCTCCTAGTTCATAGGTCAGCACTCAACCACTGAGCCACTCCAGCTGGCCTAACTCAGTCCTTTTAACTGATAAAATTCTTCCCTTATCTTTGTTTCAGGCCCATGTTTCCAACAGGAAATTTGGTTTGTAATAGGAATTCATTCAGAGCTAATTTGAATGTTTTCTGTTGGTGTTTGGCCTAAGCAAGTAGATCAGTCATGTCTTTGGGACTATTCCAAGGAAAATGACTGGAAATTCAGACAGTATGTGGGACCCAGTAGCAAGAACAAACTTCTTGAAAACATGAAGTCTTCATATTTTGTTATCATCTGAGTTCAGTTTCTATATTTAGAAACGGTGTTGTGGGTTTTTGCTGTTTCTGGTGTGGTGTAGAACTGGTGTAGGCAATTGGATCACTTTCTGTTCAGTAAGTTGTAAGTGTTCAGCAGCACACATTGATTGTTAGAAGTTGCAGTGGAAGCAGTGTGATGCTTCATTTTGTATAGTTCTTCAGTGTTATGCAAAGTGTAGCTCTCACGTCACAGTAAAAGTTTCTCTTTCTCTAAGTCAGTAGGTGAATAGTTCTATGCACTTCTGAAATGAATTAAGTCAGGATTAAGTATTTCTATGGAAGTCTAGCTCGGACCTCCCACCACTTGAAATTAACCCCCAAATCTTCTTCCTCACAAGGAGCCGCCGTCGGGTTCTGAAGTATCTGAAGAGCAGGCGTTGCAGCTGGTCTGTAAGATCTTTCGTGTCTCCTGGAAGGACCGGGACAGAGATGTCATCTTTCTTTCTTCTCTTTCTGCACAGTTTAAGCAGAACCCAAAAGAAGGTAGGACTCTAGCTCAGCTGCCCTATTTCAGAGTCCTGTCCTTAAGGGAGAAAGAGAATGTAAGCTCTTGCCCTTCCCTGCTGTCCCCACCCTGGGTGGGGGTTTGAGTACAGGGGTACTTCTTGGTCAGGGCTCTGATGTATGGCCACTTCCCACTGATCTTATCAATACTTTTCTTTTTTACTTTTACCATTCTCTAAAAGAAAATTATATAAATAAGTTAATAGTGTCCATTGTCTCAGGGTTGATATTTTTTCCTTTGTACAAAGAAGATGCTTGGAGCATTAGCAGCACCTCTTACAAAGCAGGAGCATTCTGGGTAGTCTGCAGGGACCCTGAGAGAGGCCCTCCATATGGCCTGTACCTGCCTGCAGTGCCTCCCAGGTCCTTTGTAGACAGTGGAGTAAATCTGCTGAATTCAATTGCTTAGCAAGATTGGACAGACTGATATTTTGCTGTGTTCCCAGTATTCTATCTTAAGAAGCTGCACTAAAACCACACTTAAAACAAAGTAATAAAACTCAGCATGGCAGCCATTTGGAATACAGAAGAGGTAGGGGAGGTGGGCAAGGGTGTTCTCTTGCACATCACAGCAGTGCTGCTGGCAGGGATTTGTGTCCGGTTTCTCACTGATGCCTTCCCAGTGCCACGAAGGGTGCCTTGCACTTAGTCCCTCATTAGGTGCATTTTCTTTTCTTTTCATTGATTTCAGAGAGGAAGGGAGAGGGATAGAATCATCAGTGATGAGAGAGAATCATTGATTGGCTGCTTCCTGCAAGTCCCACGCTGGGGATCGAGCCCACGACCTGTGCATGTGCCCTGACCGGGAATCGAACCCATGGCCTCTTGGTTCCTGGGTTGATGCTCAACTGCTGAGCCACACCAGCTGGGCTATAAGTTATAATTTTTAATAACCAAATCAGATAAGACTTGCCTGCATCGGAGCTGTTATTTATGTAGTGATGTTTAAAATGTATTTAAAGACCTACATACAGTAAAGCAGTTGGGAGCTGCGGAGAGTGAGAAGGAAGCTTAGCAGTGGGAATCTGCTCCAAAAAGCCAGACGGTGACTAGAAGTCAGACGCTTCATAAAATACTTTGAACTTTGTACTTGATAGTTTTACTGTGTATAAAACATATACAGGAGAAGGAATACTAACCCAGTTGATTTCTAGTGTGATAAACTAACCTCTAGTTGGGAGTAACTTTTGTACAGCTAATACAGATCAGCAGTAACTCATTGACTGCACTCTAATAATTTTTTTTAATGAGGTTTGTATTTTGGAATAACTCTAGATTTCTAAAACAGTATTAAGAGAGTACAGGGAGTTTCTGCATGCACTTTACCCAGTTCCCTAACGTTACCATCTTAC